GTTTAAAAACAAAAATTGATATATTCACTAATCAAATATTGCCACGTTACCCACCTGTTTTTCATGAATGGTTTATCTCTAACTTCACAAACCCTACAAAATGGTGAGTTTATGGAAGGTTTAATAGGTTAACTCATGTAACATTTGGTTGTTTATTTTAGATGACTTTCTCAAAGGATATTACCTCATTTAGTGTATTTCTATTTTTTATTGGAAGTTCCTCTTTATTATTAATTGTTTATAATTTTTTGAGTGTTTTACTGGAATAGGTACGCTGCTCGACTTGCTTATTCTCGAACATCAGCTGTTATGTCTATGGTTGGTTACACACTAGGATTGGGTGATCGTCACGGCGAAAATATTTTGTTTGATAGCATATCTGGAGACTGTGTTCATGTTGATTTTAACTGTTTGTTCAACAAGGTTTTTATCGTTATATTTAAATTCAAGGAAAATATTTTAAGTATGTTTATTAAATATATATTAAAATAAAAAAAATTAATTATTAACATAAAATTTTTATGTTTATTAAAATAAACACAATAAAAAAATTGAGTTAAAAAGTAATTTTATTATTTTTGTTATGTTTAAAAATTTAGTAAAAAAAGTTTTTAATCCATGCAATAATAGCCTTATAATTATAATAGTTTTAAATATGCATTAGTTTATAATTATGACTTAATTATGTTGTTTTTATATTTTAAATAAATTTTATTAATTATATTAAAATGTAATTTTTTCAAGTGAATTAATTTTATCTTTTTATTAGGGTGAATCGTTTGATTGTCCAGAAAGAGTTCCTTTTAGATTGACTCATAACATGGTAAAAGCTATGGTTAGTATTTTATGTCTAATTTTATTTGTTAGCTATTTGTTTACAAAACATATACAAATTAAGTTTATTAAATCAGGGGCCACTGGGTCATGAGGGTGTGTTTCGTAAATCTTGTGAAGTAACCATGAAAGTGATGCGTGCGCAAAAGGATTCTCTTCTCAGGTTATCTTTTTATTTTTCTTAAACTTTTTACACAGTGTTTCTTTAGAAATTTCTTAAACTTTTTAAACAATCATTTTTAGAAATTTTTTTTTAAATCTGTTTTTGTTAAATATTTTTGAAATCTGTTTTGTTAATAATTAGAGGTGTACCAGATATTTTTGCAAGATATGCCGAATCGTGAGCTTTTCTAAAGTTCTTTAAGTGTTTATGAAAAAAAAACAAGTCTTGCCAGTCTACAATAAATAGTATTTAAGATCTTACTTAAAAAAATCAGTGAAAAACTGTATGACGTGGTATATGTGCTGACGAAATATAAAAAATAGTAATTAGAAAAAACAAAAGTTTGGCTATAAAAAACAATTTTTCTTTATACATTATTAACGCATATACCTGTGTTATACCAGTTTTTTATTGATTTTTTTTTTTTAATTTCGAACACTGTTTAATGTGGAATGGCAAAACTTGTTTTTACTTCATAAACATTTATAAAACTTGAGAAAAGTTCATTATCCGGTATATCCAGCAAAAATATCCGGTACACCTATTAATAATATTTTTGTTTTAATTATAAATTTTATATTTTAGTGTTTTAAATACATTTTTGTATGATCCTTTATTGGAGTGGAAAAAAGAAACACGAAATAAAGAAGTAGAAGTAAATAATGAAATGGTAATTTTATTTCATAACATATTTTATTTCATAACATATTTTATTTCATAACATATTTTATTTCATAACATATTTTATTTCATAACATATTCACTTATAATTCAACGTGGCGTGGGTGGGTGAGTTGAGACAAGTGACATCACGCTATTTGCATTTTATAATAGACCACATAGACCAAATGAATACTGACTACAGTCAGTGACTGCAACAATCACAAGCCACTTGACGTCACGGAACAATGCATTGTAGCATTTTTTTTATAATAGAATTACATTTTTTTTACTATAATTGTTCTTGAATAATTTATTCATAGTAAAATATAATAAATTTTTTTATTCATAGTAAAGTAAATATGTTTTGTTTTATATCCGCATAATATTAAAAACCAAACATCAGGATTTATTGTATAGATAAAGGTTTCGTATAGATAAAGGCTTCTTCTTAAACTTCAGATTCTCAAAAGAAAGAAAAAAAAATCGAATGAAATTCTATTCAAAATGCGGAAATTAAATGCTCATTTAACCTGTTCTTATTTGTAGATAGTTCGTTTTAACTTCGTGTTATATTGATTTGATATGTAGGTGAAAAATTCGGAAATGTTTATCGAATTCTTAACAAAATAATTTTCTTGCCAAAAAGTAACTCTGAAATGGTTTTGTAAATTTTATGGCTTTTAGTTTTATTATATTATAAACTAGTTTTTAATAATAAAAAAATGTGTTTGTGTGTTTATAACCAACGACTAACTGACAGTGGCGCAGACTTTATGGAACGAATTAAAATCGGAACCATCTTCATGTCAAACGAAATTAAACGAGTTAAAAATGGTTGTAGCAAAACAAAAAGCAAATAATTTGAGCTACTGGGCAAACATTCCAGCAAAGAAAACATTGCAGGAGGTTGCATCTGTGTCTATAACGGTTGCAGGAGGTTGCATCTGTGTCTGACAATAACGATTCACCAGCAGACGATTCTGCTGGTGAATCGTTATTGTCTACAGTAATGAACAAAAAAGTTACCCATACTTCAGTAATCGACGAATTGAAAATCACCACCAATTAATTAACTATAAATGAGTTTGCAAAACAAAATGTATTGGAAGATAAACAACGCCATACACCAGCAGAAACCAGAGAACAAAAACGTTTGGATGAAGTAAATCCAAACATATTTTTCCTTGTATTGAAGCAACAGAAAGGTTTAGGTGATTCAGAAGCTGTAGGAAAAAAATTGAAGAACTTGACGACTAGAAAAAATAAAATTCAACAAGTTATTCAAACTCTTCGACTTTTGCCTGAAAAAAAAAGAAAAATACAAAAAGTTATCCAAAGCTGCAGGTGAAACATTACTTGAAAAATCAGGGTGTCTTAGAAAGGAACAGAACTATCGAGATCTTCTTAATGTGATTTGGGAACTCGTTTGTTTTAATGAAGCTGGAGCTGATCCTTAGCGTTGGTCTGAATTATTGGAATGTCTCTCCTCTCCCATGACATTTGTGGATTGGTTCTTGATCACGAACATTTTGTTTCACATATTGGTGCAAATGGAAAAATAATCAATGAAGAATTGGAAAAAAAAATTTCTTTCATGCCATGATTGTTTAAGCATTAATATGGAGTAAAACAGTGATCGACAAATATCCAGTGTATGCGATAGCTATTTCAATACCAGAAGGCAAGTCTACACTACGAGTTCCAGAGAAAAATTTTCAAATCAACTTTGAAGGTCACAGGACATAGAGTTCAAAGTACATGCTTTAAGTGGTCAAATGCACTGAAATATCTTGCTGCAAACCATTTCGCTTTTCTCAATTTCAAAAAAATTTACCAAACAGGTTTTTACCATATCCTCGAGTTTTTGAATACACCGAGTTTGGGATCTGTCCATGCTTCTGCTTTTTCAAGATATTCACCTAGATGTTACGAATCAAGTCAAACTCAGACAGCCATACCCATTTGATTTGTATTGTTCATCAGTCTTCCTTGTAGATTTGGAAAAGAGACAATGTCAAGTTTGTGGTTTGAATTTTCCAACTGTTGTAGCCAAGACAAATCATTATCGCATCTGTCGCAAATAAAAAATAAATAGCACCGTATTAGTCGGAGAAGAAGTAGTCCAATTTGCAAATATTGGCGAAAGTTCAGAAAAACACGTCTGCTCACCCTCTTGTGTGAACCAGAAACCGAAGTTTAAACTGTTTGGATCTTTTTTAGTTTTACCTTTGGAACAACGTGGTAATTCTCCATGGATTACTGATTTGGAAGAAATAATTATTTATAGCAATTTTACTTGGTTAAACTTTTGTAAATAATTTAAACAGGCTCTTTTATTATAAGCATTTAATAGGAGTGTTAGAAAAAAAAATTAAAATAGTACAGTTTCATTTTGTTTATATTTCTTTATGTTCCAGAGTTATTCACCTGATCCTTTGAGAATTGTTTTTAATCCAAAACATTTTCAATAAAGTTATGTAATTTCTTACAGTGTAACACTAATAGAGGATAAAAAAATGCATTTAATAATAGAAGTTAATACGTACAGCTGAATATGAACAATTTAAGTTTAGTTTTTTAAAAAAACAATAACCCCTTCTCCCTTATTTGGTGAAGAAAAATAAAATGACGTCACGCTAGGGAGGTGGTTTGGTTGGCCTAAGGAAATGTGACTAAACGTGACAGGGTGGGTGGCTCAAAAATAGCCATTTTTAGCGTTACGTAATTGTGCAATGACCCCTTATTGTTATTTGAATTTTCTCTCATTTACTTTCAATATTTAGGCTTTAAAAATATTAAAAAAGATTGAGCAGCGATTATCTGGTTACATAACGAGCAACATGATTCATTTACCTCTCTCTATTGAAGGTCAAGTGCATCATCTAATAAAGGTTGACATTTAAAATTATTTTAGTTTTGTGTGTGAAAATGAATATATTCAGCACAAGCCTGGGGCCTCTGCAACGGCCCTAAGACAAGTTTTTTAATATAGGTTAATTTATAGCTTTACTCTACATTGCTTATTTTATATGGGTATATTGAAAATTGTTTGAGATAATTTTAATAAATTTAAGTTTTATTTATTTTATAGGAATCCACAAGTATTGAAAACCTTTCACAAATGTACATTGGTTGGGCCGCGTATATGTGACGAACTGAATATTCTTCACAAATTTATATTGCTCGTGCTATATACATGTGATCAGCTAGAAATGCGGCCTACCGCTTTTTTCTAATTGTGTGTAGTAGGCTGAGTATTCTTCACAAATGTAAATTGTTTGAATAATTGTGATTAGTTGGAAATACAGTCTACTTAACCACATTTAACCAACTTAAAACTTAATGGTGTTCAAAGTTACATTAATGCTTATTGTATTGTACATCTGCTCTGACATTTTACAAATGTTAATTACTTTATACATATGAAACCTTTTATACTCTCTTTGTTTCACAGTATTTTTCCCTCATATAAGAAATATTGCAAATATATATGTTTAATCGGCTTTATAATAAATATTTATATATAATAAATTTTTTTTTTTTCATCAGCTACCGTGTTGTGACTTATTAAAAGTATTTACTTTAGCGTGTAAAAGCTTACTATGTGTGCGCAATAGATATTTATTCTCTGGCTTTTGTTTATAAAAACTATAGAAAATTGAAAGACTTTTTTGCATTTTGGTATTATACATGGTTTAACATATACATTTAGTTCAAACAATATTAGTAAAGGAATTTGTTCAAAATAAGGTTTCGATTTTTTTTTTTTTCTCGTCTAGAATACTTCTGTTTACGAAAGAGAGGTTCTAGTTTTCTTTTATAAGTATTACCCCATTCTTAATTATTGTAATTTAAAAAACTTTGAACGAGGCTATAATTGTTTAAATTGTGATTTTTCTATGAACGACGTAACTGGTATATTATTCCTATACTTTTAGATGTTTTACTATATAAATATGTGATATGTTTATTACAATTTAGATTTTCGTCAATAAAAACAAAAACTAAGTTACATCATAGTAACTTATTACTCTACTTTCAATTTATAAATTTTGGAAACGAAGACTGAACTTTTTACATATAAACGATTATTTTTATTAAAGAATGAATATTTTGTTAATGGAAAGATGAAATAGGAAAAACAACGTTTTAACTTGAGTATAATATAGAGTTGGTTTGCCCTAAACCATTCAGATATTTTTCTAACTTGGTTGCTACGTACAGGTCATTTTAAATTTTTTTTTTTTTTTTTCACAATGAAAAAAATGTATTTAGTTTTTACTGTATTTATTGATAACTTATTTAATTTCAACCAAATGCTAACCCTAGTAACAATAATTTTTAACTCGTGTACCAACACAAACTTTATCTGTTGTATTGGGCCAGTTAAAACAAATTGTGGTTGATTCGCACCAACTTACGCAAAATACGGTTGACCCAAATGCGAATCCAATGCTGTTGTGAAAAGTAAATGTAAATGTGATTAGCCCAACAATACAGGCTGCTAGGATTATTTTTTGTTTCTTGAAATAAAGAAAAATATATCGGAAACTAGTCAAAAATACTTGTCGTGATTATTCCTGCTTTTAATGCGTAAAATGAAATATCAATATATTGTCTTTTGCAGTGACTTAAGTTTGTTTATGGTTATGTCCCTGATAAAGATTAATAGTTTGCGCTTGTTGTTGTATTTTTATAAAAATTTGTTTTAGATGGATAAAAAATTTTGTTATGTCACCTTCAGTTGGTCTGTAACAGATAAGCGCTATTATATTTTTAAATATTTGGTTTACTATTTCAATTGGAAAGACTTCACCGTAGGCATTGAAAACCAAATGTTTTTTTTCTAACCGAATGTTTTTCTTTCTAACCAAATTACTTCCAACTTAAGTTGTCAGATTAAGAATTTTGGTTATTATTGAACTTTTTTTCACATGATAGAAGTTTGTAGTTTAAAATTTGTATGTTTGAACTTATTCTGGATGATTTTTCAGAACACTAAGAGTCTCTGAATACTTAAATATATTTGACAAGAAAATGCTTTAAATTGTTAATATTATTTATTATACTTCTTATACTTATATGTTAAATTTAATTTGTTTTTAAAAATTCCTAATTTAAAATGTGTTAGTTAAAACTATTTCCATAAGAAAAAAAAAATTCCGGGTTGTAAAAATTATTAAAACATTGTTTGCCAATTTAACGTGTTTTGAAATCTATTGATTTTTGACCCGCTATAATATGTCAGGTTCAAATGGGGACTGCTAAGATGATTAATTGTTATTTTATGGTATGGACAGCTCATGGTTATATAACTGATAAAATTGCATTTGATGAAGCTGGTTGGTTGAGTATGAAAGTTGATTTTTTTAAGTATTACAACGATCATTACTTAAATACTGTCTTTGTAGATTTTACTATTAACTGATTGGAATAAAATTATGAAAATGAAAATCTGTGTTTTAAATTATAAAACCCTTCTTATATTTAAATTGGCATTTATAGATTTTTTTTTCCTACAAAAGAAGACAATAAAATCCAAATAATGGTGTAACAATATTTAAGTAAAGTTACTCAAAATCAAAAAGTTTATCCACGCTTCTTATTATAGTAAAAAGAAGTAATAAAATGAAACACATGTATTCATTAAAAGTGCACGGTGGTGTCCGGCATCCCTTACAAGTAATTAAAAAATAAAAATTAAAAAAACAACCTCAGTAATTAAATAAAAAAATACAACCTCAGTACTATCGTGTGTTTAATTCAGGAAGGGGAGGAAGTTTAGTAGTTTTCCAAAAGTTTTCCCACCCACAAATGTTTATTAAGATCACCCCCCCCCCCTCCCTAAAATATTTTATTAAATTTAATTGCGGCGTATTTACCTTGATTGCGAAAATTTTTCACTTCTTCCTGATTTCAGCGAAATCCTTATCTCTAAATATTCCACACTGATTTTTAAATGGTTTTAGAATCTTCATCTTATTTTGTTTTCGGCGTTGTTTCTTTTTTGAGAACACAATTCGGTGCGCACGGTCAACAATTATCTTGCCTGATGTTTTAAGAATACAATTCGGTGCGCACGGTCAACAATTATCTTGTCTGATGTTTTATAATTGTTTGTGAGTATTTTAATCGTAAACTTTTTACAGTCATTTCAATTTGTTTATTAATTTAGTATTTTTTTTAATATATTTTTTCTCCGTCATTTTCTCTCCTTGGGAGTTGAGTGTTCACTTCGCATTCTTTACGTACTTTTCAATATTTCTTATTGTTTTCACAAAGAAAACCTCGAGACATGAGTCTTGGTCTCGAGGTTCATATTTAACTGTCTCGCTCTTAGTCTTGAAAGCCTTGAGTATTGGTCTTGGACCTTTACTTTCTTGTACTTTGTTGGTCCTTAAATAAAAAATATCAACATAATGGATTAGTAGTTATTAATAAATCGTCACTACAAAGATTAACTATTGCAGGCGCGCACACTTATTGTAGAAAATCTATTGTAGGCGCCAACACTTTTTGTAGACTGTAACATTGTGCACATTATTTTCCAACAACATAATTATAAATGTGTAGTTACGTTTAATCATAGAGTAATGTATATAAATGGTAAAATGATACATCAGCTAAAGGCGTAATAGTTTAGATAAATCTTTGAGCATGAGTCTTATTGTGCTAAATATCTAAGAATTTTTTATTTTGGTCTTGTGAAATTTTTTTAAGTTTTGGTATGAGTCTTGGGTTGACTTTTGATGATTTGGTCTTAGTCTTGTTCTTGAAGTTTTAAGTCTTGATCTTGAACCCAAATGTCTTTATCTTAACCTTGACTGCCTTGACTACATCTTTATTTTGTTTAGTTTTCATTTTAACGAGTCAATCAGATGTTTATTTTTATGATCCTATTTACTATTTGTGTGTAATTCTTTTTTTTGATCTTTTTTTTTTAATTTTAACTTGTTTTTAAAGATTTTTACAATAAAGCACTGTTTTTTTTTCAATTTTAACTTGTTTTTAAAGATTTTTTTCAATACTTTTGATCGCTACTTTAATTTTTTTTTAAATATATACACTATTTTTGAACATTATTTGAAAATTTGTGCCTTTGAAGCCAAAAACATTAAAGACCTGATACTTCTGAACCAATCGGCGTTCTGCTAAAATTTTTTTTAAATTGTATTGATCTTAGTTTGTGTTTTATCAGGTCTAAGATAATTATAAATAATTGAAAAATAATGAATTGTAATTTGCAATACTCCAATTGTAACTAAAAACATTTGAATTATTAATTGCAATAGTTTCATTTTTAGGTTAAGCTTTCCTTACTTCATTCAAAGTTACTTTTCTTACTTGTGCTTTTTATTTCTTTATTGTTATTATTAGTAGTTCAGGTTGTTGGTTATAATGACTTAAAGTCTTATGAAGTTACGATTTGACAAAAACAAACGATAAACCATGCTATAATGGTAAGATATTTTTTATATGTTACGCACAGATCGCGAATTTGCTCATTTCACGAAATGTTCAATTTTTTGCTGATTTCGTGATCTGGGTTTCGCTATCGCGCATTATGTTGATTTTTATTGTTTTAAATCTATATTTTGCGTAATAAATAATATTTATTAGGTTTGAATAATATTTATATTTAATTTTTTTATTGTATATATATTTATTAAATTTAAATAATGTTTACATTTATTTTTTTTTTAATATATATTGTGCCTATTTTTAAAAATATAGTCAATGAATGTATGTTCACTCCACTGCGCAATTTCCTTTATATATATATATATATATATATATATATATATATATATATATATATATATATATATATATATATATATATATATATATATATATATATATAATGTATATGAATATATATTAGGTATATTTGGAATCTGCTGGTTATACCTGCTGGGATTTTTTGTTATTTTTGTAATTTAATTTATTAAATGAAATTGAAATAAAAATAATATTAGTCACGGTTAATAATGTAAAAAAGAATATAGGATTGTTTTTTAAATATTTTTTTATACATTTTATAGTTTAGTAATTTTTTCATTGCCAATTTCAAGTTTAATTTAAGAGCCAATGCTATAAACATAAAAAACGAAGTTTTTTGTGTAACAGAGGGATAGGCGTAACATAGGTATCCGAATTTCTTTTTTAAAAATACAGAGGTTTTTAAAAAAGTAGCAAAAGTGCTCATATTACCCAGGTCACTTGGTAATATGAGCAATTTAAATTTGCTCAAAAAAATAAAATTAAGTAAATAAAGAAATATCAACTTTGAGAAAAATATCAAATAGAACTAATTTATGGTATATAATTAATTTATTATTTTTTATTTTATTAATGTTATTTTTTCAATTTTAATTTTATTGATCAAAACATTTAAACAATAATATTACATTATTTACGATTTTAAATGACAGAAAGATATTCAGCATTGTTAAATTATCAAAAAATATTTACTATGTTTTGTTTTTATTCAAAAAAAAAATTAAAACCACTGCATTTTTAGGACTTTAAACTAGGTACTTTTCAATGAAAAACACTGGGTAATATGAGCTTGCTCATATTACTTAAAGATGGCATCTTTAAATAAAATCAAAATTAAATGTTTCTATGGATTGTTTTCCAAATAAAAATAAAACGGATTTTTAGATAACATAAGTTTCTTTATGAAAAATTAAACACACACACGCATACATATATTTGTAAAAATTTTTATTTTTATAAGTTAGAGTGAAGGTAGTAGAAATCGTGAAACTTACACTTATCCTGAAGGTGATACCTATGAAGGAGAATGGTCTGAAGAAGGTAAAAAACATGGTGCTGGTATTCTAAAGTTTAGTGATGGGACGACATATGAAGGACGTTTTACTCATGGTCTATTTAGTGGCTGCGGAGTATTAAACTTTGCCGATGGTGCTGTTTACAAAGGTTTTCATTTTAATTTTGTTTACTTTTATACGTAAAAAAACAAACTTTATTCAGTACTGTATTTATTGTATAAATATGAAATATTTTAAACTTTTGTTCTTCGAACTTATTTGCAACCATTTTTTCGATGTTCTTTATCGTTCGTTGAAACTTGAAATAAAAATTTTTATAACTCTTTTTACCTACAAATCTTAATTTTAATCTACAAATCTTAATTTTAATCTACAAATCTTAATTTTAATCTACAAATCTTAATTTTAATCTACAAATCTTAATTTTAATCTACAAATCTTAATTTTAATCTACAAATCTTTGTAATCAAACTAGTTTTGATATAATTAATTAACATTACATTCTCGATTAACATTGTTGAGGTTACTTAATTTTTTTTAATGATATAGGTGAGTTTTCTCAAGGTGTTTTCAATGGTTTTGGAGTTTACGTAAGGTCCGATCAGCTTAAATACGAAGGAGCATTTAAAAACGGAAGACCCGATGGCCCTGGTATTATTACTTTTCCTGATGGTAAACACGGAAACCCAAGACAAGAAGGATTTTGGGAAGGTACAAAACTGATTCGTAGAGAAAGAGTCAAACATGCGCAAACTATGGCAAGACAGTGCGCAAAAAGAGCATCGTCACAAACTACTACCTAGTTCTATATGAAGTCGTATATAAAATGATGTAAAATAGTTTTAGAAAATTTTACAAAATTTGATAAATTTTTAAACAAGATTGTAAATATTATCAAATTCATTCCATTACTGTATCACCTATATGACGTCTTTAACTGACGTCATTTGAATGAGGTCTTTGCCCCATTAAATATTTAAGCTTTTCAAATTCAATTAAAAAAATGATATTTAATATTGAGCCATTGTCAAATAACTAAACTTTTATTGTTTTGTTTTTTTAAAAGAAACAGATTACCATTAAACTAGCAACGATAAGATTGTAAATCTAAATAACTAATTATAAGCAACTAATTATTAAAAAACTGCGATGCAATTTTTTGAATTTTTATTCGTTACTGCCTTTTACTTGAAATGTTAATATTTAATATTAATATAATATTTAATATTAATATATAATATTTATAAATGTTAATATATTGTTAATATTTACTTATTCTTAAGATTTATAAATTTGTTAATGTTAATTATAAGTTATTACTTATTTATTATTTGCTATTTACTTATTAAATTAATTATTTACTTGTACAATTTAGTTCTAGGTTTATCGAGTTTCACGAACAAACTTGATTTTTCTTTAAAAAAATACAAACAAACTTCACTGCTCTCTTAATATTCTGAGGATGAAAAGACATAACCAACTCTAACGTCGTTCCTATCAGCGGTGATTTTTGTAAATGCTGAAATAATATGTGTTCAGAGAAAGGGGTTATCAAATGCCTTTTTGATAAATGTCTACTAAACGATACGCATCAGTATTTATTGCGGTGATCTTCTTTAATCTTATTTTAAACATCATTGTAGTTTTGAAAGAAAAAATTTTGAATTCCAATAATAAAAATAAAAAATGTTTATTGCGTTTACAAGTATAATAGTATCTTAAGTTAGTTTTTTGATATACTTTTACTACGAGGTGTCAAACAAAACACCCCAGCATGCTTACTAGTTTTAAACTTTTTTTTTTCAAAAAATGCTTACCCGTTAACTAACTAATCACCAGGGGCGCCGTTAACATTTTTTGGTCTTTTAGTCATTTTTTAGCTAACTTCCATACGTGGAGCAAACTCCAAACATTTATATGTTAATAATTATGTCAAATAAGGATGATCTGCAAAAAAAACTGCGATGATTGGAGCTTGGGAACAAAAAAGCCCCAAAATTTTGGTTTATTTTATTTTTACATTATTTTTTTAATGTTTACGGATACTTCAAATTTTATGGTAACAACCTTCCTGACTATATGCTTATCTGATTTCATTGTTCAAATGCATTGTGTTACAAGTTTTTTTATCGCAATAGTTATGATTTCGTCAGATGTTTTAATTCTTTTAATTTTACTAAAATAACTGGGAGCCCATTATCTTTTCTAATAAAAAGATTTTCAGCAACTTTATTATAAAAAGTAGGCATCGGGGAGGAAGAGGGTTACTCAAAAACGTTCAAATACGTTTAAAGAGAGGGTTGCTAAAAACAGCGAGTACACACATAGTCAAAGTTTACTGTTTATGCTGGCTTTTAATCTCGAAACGTAAATATTCAAAATTAGTCAGTAAAAGGACTTTATATAAGGATTTTACGATTTGACATTTTTTATCGGGTGGACACGGAAAAATCCGGTCAACTTTAAATTGAGATTTCTCTAAAGCCACAAATGCTTTTTATTTCTTTTATTTTTTTAATTAAACGTTACTTCCTTATCTTTAATTGTGTTGATAAACTTTTGTTTACAAGTTAATGATTTTTTTAAATATTTCGGAAACAAGTTGATGCGCGTAAATAAGTAGTGAATTTTTTTTTGCAAAAATCCATCTACTTCATATCGCTTGATTGCTAAACGTACAATTGTCCCATAATCTACAGTCATAGATATGTTAAATAAGTTCAAGACTACTCAAAGTTTCGAAAGAAAACCTGGAAGTGGAAGAAAGAAAACTTTCCATAAATCCAAAAAGGTAAAGTCGATTTTACGCTAAATAGCAAGAAATCCAAACCAGTTACATCGAGATCTTGTAAGAAAATTCAAGATTTTGCGTTCTTATATCAAAAAAGTATTTAAAAATGCTGGATTTAAAATTGCTGGTTCACTTCAAACGAGCATCAGACATTGCATTTGTCTTTTTTAGGTGCATACAAAGCAAGATTCAGTTCCTGAAAAATTTCCGGAAATAGTTTTCTTCCTACTGGTTTGATATTTTTTTCATCACTAAACTCTTTGTATACCAGGTACAGTCCAGAATGAGAAGTTTGATATTGTTCAAAGTACATTTTAGTCGATGAACTTTGGCAATATTAAGAGGGGAGAGTTAGCATAGACTGCAAGAATTCGTATCCCAAGTCTTTTGAAGGTTTCCTCTTTTAAAGATTTTTTTGCCTGCTTCTATTTTGAACCTCCTTGCATTTGCGGATACCACTTCCACTTGAATTAGCGAGCCATTGCCTCACTGTCCAAACTTTGATTCCTAAAGTATTTAAAAACATAGTCCTACAGACTTGGATCCTTTCGTTTTTAAGTAAAAGGTGAAACTCTCTGCTTACTTCCTTTCTAGAAACTTCTTCTTTTGTCATTTTTCTTAATAAATTATTAATAATTTTTTTTTTAGAAACATATTTTTACAATTCAAACGCAGCTATGCTTTACGACATCAGGGTAAGTCAATAAAACAATTAATTTCAATAGAATATGGTCAATGAAGCATTACAAAACTCGTTAAAGCGCAACACAATTATTTATTTTAAAAATAAAGTAAATAGAAAAGACACGTGCTGCTCAGATGTTGCGCGTAAATCTTCACAAAGTCGGTCCTGCGTTACTCAATGCAACGAAGGGGGGAAATGCAAGAAGCGAACTTGAGTCAAGCTCGACTTGAACTTTACATTGCAACCAATAGCGACAGAGTATGGGTTTTTCCCTTAAAAAATACTCTACCGCTATTGGTTACAAAGTAAATTTCAAGTCGAACTTGACTCAAGTTTGTTTCTTGCATTCCACCCTAAGGCATAGAACAAACTCGTAAAAAAAAAAGCCGATAATTTAAATCAAATCCGATTGGTTGTTAGTGGCAAACCGAAGAACTTTTTATTTACTTGTATTTAATTTATGCAAACAAGGAATTCGAATTGAGAGTAATTTATTTATAAAGTTTACTGCCTCTGCTTTTTAATTGTTTGCGCATTCTGAATGGAATAATTTATTATTTCAAGATAGCCGAATAAGTCGCAAGTATTTCAAAAAATGATACTAAATACCGAAAACAGTTTTTTAAATGGGGCTAAAAGTTATGATTATTTATGCAAAAACGACTTTGGTAGAAAAATTAACACTACCTTATGTTATTTAAATCAAACGTGACATTATTGTTAAACATACTCATTTAAGTGTGTTATTGAAAATAATAACTTTAATTTTCATAAAAAAATGTTTTTTCAATCAGACATTATTTGGTATAATTATCCCAAATAATGTCTGATTAGAAATGTCACGTTACATTCATTAAAAACAAACACATATACGTGCTTTTATAAAAAAATCAAATTCATAGACTTATCTATAGCCAAGCCCCAAGATTGAAAATTGCATCTTTTCTAAATAAAACTACGCTTGACGATTTGTTATAGTCGTATTTTATCAGATTATAATAGTGGCTAAAATAATATTTCCTTAAACACAAAATACGTCATACTTTTTGATGAAAAAACTTACATATATTGCAATTGAAAAAACTTATATTTTTTTTCGGAAAAACGTGTACGATGCCTTAGTTGCATTGAGTACTTCGATTGCAGCGCCTCTGGTGGCTATATTTAAAGTTATGATGTTACCAACAGATGTGTCACTAAGAGACGAGAAACTCTGTGTGCGTATCTCAATACAGAAAATATTGTCACATAGGCGGTATTGTCTGCGTAACGACGATATTAAATGGTGTAGCAAATTTTCCCTCTAGTAACAATGCGAAATTCAGAAAAATTAAAAATACGACCCACTCTAGGGTGGGTCGTATTTTTAATTTTTCGTTACATAAAAGACCCCTATTATATAGCATAGATATGTCATTAACTAAGTTTTTTGTTTTTAATGTTTTGAAAAATTTATGCATAAGAGAAAGGGGGGATAATTTGATAAATAATGTTGACATACTTAAAAGGGGGGGGGGGCGTTGAAAGTACACAATTGCGTACAAGAGGTTGGGGGGCCTTAATCAGTAGTTTTGGCGCGTATGTCACAGATCATCCAGGTCATATTTTAAAATTCCGAAAAATTGTTTGGTTAAAATATTATTTGTTTGGTTAAAATATAAAAGAAAAGTTAGAATATATATTTCCCTATTTTCCACTTAGTTTTGCTTTCAACTGAATTTTTTCCATTTTTTTCTTAATTTTTGTACAAGTTATGAGTGAAAAAGCTTAAAAATATATTACAAAAATATACCCCTTAACATTTATGTATAGAAGACGTTTTAGATATCCACAAAAACTAAAAGTTGAATAAAATATCCAGAATTCCGGAAATATCTGAAAAAAGATAACCCTTTATGGTAAGCTGAAGATAGTATAGCTCAAAAAGAGGTTTTTTAACTGTCAAAAAACACAGACCAGACATTATATTGTTATAATAAGAACGTGTAAGGGAGCGCTGCTACATCGATTGATTTAGGTAGAACATGCAAAGGGATGCTGCTACATCGACTGAGGGTTTGGGTTGAGGCAGGTATAAATCAGTCAATGTAACAGCACTTTTACATTTTCCCCAAAAACGGTACAATATCTGGTCTGCGTTTTTTTTAAACTCAAAACCTCATTTTGAGCCATGCTATGTTCTACTTACCTTACTTAATGGATGCCTTCTTACATAATTTATGAAGAAGTATTTATATAAGTAACTAATAAATAGTTATGATTTTATACTATAAACAAAAAATATATTTGTATTTAATTTAACAACAGCAAACACATATTTCTTTTCTAAATAAATCTACTTCAACACTTTGATTCAGGTTTTTTATTAGATTTTAATGTAATTTGTGCAAAATAATTATTTAAAAAATAGTTAATTTGTACAAACAGAAAATTTGAGTTTAATGTTTAAATTTGAATCATTTTATTTAAAAATTTATGACCGCTTTTAAAACAAACTACCAGACTTTTCAGCACAATTTGTACATTAATAAAGGATAATCTTAAGGTTTTCAAAAAAATTTTATGTTTGTACAACATATTTTTTTTATTTATAAATATTTCATTGTGAACAATTACACAATTTTTCAATGCTATATATTTAGTCCTCAGTTTTGAAAAAGAACTGGCATCATTGATTTTGAAAATTTTTGATATAAAACGTGTCAAGTACAAACTGATGGCAATTGGAAATCATGTCTTAGTTTGTATAAAATGAAAGAAATGGAAAAATGTTTAAGTTATGATCTGTCTCCATGACATTTAAAAGCCTATAAATTTCTAAAACTTTCATCAGGACCCTACAATATTTATGATTTCTAGATAAACCAATGTAATTTGAAAATTTTTAAACAAGAATTAAAGGAATACCATTAGAAATAATATCTTGAATATTTATATCTTGAATAGTTTTTCCAACTTGACAACAAATTTCAGCCATTTATTTAACAGCGGAAATGAAAATTTTCTAAGAATATTAATTTTTATAACATCTTTAAAATCACTATAAATCAGCAATAAAAATGTGCTAATGAATTGTAATAGTTTAAACAATATTTAAGATTTTCGTGCTGTTTGCAAATGTCGTAATGGATAAGGTATTTGAATTATAAGTACTCATAGCCATATAGATTGTGTTATCTTTAGTTGTTGATTACCATGAACAGTTTTTCGAAACATTCTGGGCAAGTCATTTGGCAAATAATTTTTTTTATGTTAATAATAGATCTTGGATTAGAATTTTGAACATTTTGAATCCAAATACTTCTTTGATCTTTTCATTTAGGAAATTAATAGACTAATATTTTTGCACAGCTTTTATTACTTTTGGTTCTTCGATGATTAGTTTTGATGATTAATCTATAAAATATAATGATTCAAGAGATTATAAAAAAAATTTATAGTATAAGGTGTTTCAAACAATTTTTGTCACCTATAATAGCTTATTAGTCATACCAGTTATTTTACAATTGATTTAACTCCTAATATAGTTTTTAAGTTAAAAACTTGAATGAAAAAAAGTAAAATTATTTATTAAAACTTATAATATAAAAAAATTATTAATAAAAATCATTGAAAATTTACTAATGCAAAAAGCAAAAACAATTTTAATTTTAAAAACTTAAAATTTATCTAAAAGCTTTACATGTTTATATAGGTAAATGCCAGAATGGGTTCCTGTTTTTTAAAAGTTGCTTTAACTTTTCTGTAATATCAACTATTTAAGAAAACAAAATATTGCAACAAGTGTGGAAACATGAATGTTACACTTTAAATAAATAATAATTAATTGTAAGATGTCCCGAGAAAAAAAAGAAAGCACTTAGGAAACAATAAACATAATATAGCACAATATTTCTATTTCTAGAAATTTCTAGAAAAACAAAAATCAACAGCAGGGCAAAATAAAAGCCAAAATAATGAATGAGAGTATAAGTGATACTGCTATTATCAGTTATGCCATAACTCATGGTCATAAATAATTAAACTTTGTGATTACGATTTCTAAAAAGTATCTGAGACAAATTAAAATTATTTGTTTTATGAATAGTTAATAAATAGTTAGCTATATGCCTGTGTTACAATATAATACAAACTGCATATTTTACTATACAAATTATATAGTACATATACATATGCTATAAAAATTGTATAGTATTCCTATAAATATATATATATATATATATATATATATATATATTATATATATATATATATATATATATATATATATATATCTACTATAGTATATTTATATGCGCAATTGTTCACTTTTTTTACTAGCCTAAATTAAGTGAGCATCGTGAGAAAACGATGAGGGAAAACAAAGAATAATGAATGAAAAGGTTGCTGACCCATACCAAACCCTCAGTCGATGTAGCAGCACTCGACTGCGAGTCAGGCTATTTGTCAGTCGATGTATGTACTGAAGCCCCTGCAGCAGGCAATTTCAGTATGATGTCATCATGCTCACCTAACTCAGCAGTATAAGATATATATTTACTATATAATAAATATATATATATATTTAAGTATATATATATATATATATATATATATATATATATATATATATATATATATATATATATATATATATATATATATATATATATATATATATATATATATATACTGCTATATAACTTTAATAGCAAAATATGTGTATTAGATATAAACTAAGGTTGCATGGATTATTGTGCACGAATAATATACATTTACATTCTCACATAAAAAAAAAAAGTTATCATTGTGGCATAACGATAACTTTTTTTTGATATAGTTACATCAATGATATATATTAACATATATACTACGTATATATGTTAATGTAACATATATATTACAGATACATATGTAATAAATATCATAGCATAGTCATAATATACATATATCTGATATTATGACTATGATCATAGTATATAGCAGAAGTATAAAGTACGCCTCTTTTTCAAACTCGAAACTGCCGTAATAATAGTTAGTTTCAATTTTTTGTAAATAAAAGTTTTTACATACAAAAAAAAATTAATTTTTTGTATATAAAGGTTACAATTATTGCCATAAGTTAATAACGGTTACGAAAGATAACTATAATAACGGCAAGCGTTTCGAGTTTAAAAGTGAGACGTACTTTATCCTTGTATTATATACAATGATATATATTACATATGTAACTAAATATGTATTCTATATGCAACTATAAATCTTTGATTTAACCATATATCAATGATTAAATATTGCGTAAAGTTAAATAATATGCGATGATGAAAAAATGTGCATTTCATCATCGCATATTATTTAACTTCAATTCATTATAATAGGCCAACAGACACGGCTTACGGTCGCGTGTTAAATAGGCCTTCAGATCGCTTTGGTCTTTCCTTCCACTTGTCCACTCGGCGCAGCAGTCTTGACTGTCGAGGAAAAATAGTTAGAAGTAGTTACTTGGTTTTAGGAGTACACACTTTATACCAAAAAATAAAATAGAAATAAAAACTCAACCCACAACAAAAAACCCTAGCTTTGCGCCTTCTTACGTAGCAGCTACGTGTTTGTTACGGCTAGTTTATTTCGATAGCGCTACAAAACACTCTGCTACGTAGCATAAGTAGGTTGTAATACTTTTTAAAATGAAACTTTTAATGTATTTTAATGAGAAGCAGTCGGTAGGCATTGTTGATCCAGGAAATTTTCTTTGTTCGCATCTTCCTTTTGATCTCAGTCAATTAACAAAAGAAGATTGGTTGTCACTCAGAGGAAAAAAATTAGAGGGACTCTGTTTATGTAATAATGAGACTTACGAAAACACTGTATTGTTGCAAGTATGTTTTAAAAATAATTTTTAATAGTAATTTGTAGTATTGCTTATACATATGATATTTAACAGCACTAAATAAAAGTGTGTAATATTCAATGAATCTACCAATTGCAAATGTTAAGTCAATTTAAGTTGTAAATGTTGTTAAGTTACATGAATGCCATTGATTTATCATTGAACTTAAGTCTTTAAATGAACTTAAGTCTTTAAATAAAACTTAAGTTTTGAACTTAATTGAACTTAAGTCTTTTAATGAAAAAATTAGGAAGATTGTCTCATTTAATGACTTTTATATCATTTACTTTTGTAACCTTAGTGCATGTCATAACATATTCATTTTTTAATTATTGCATATCCAATACCTGTGTTTACATCGTATATATTGTTGCAGGTAATTTCACTCCCTTTGGTTGCCTTTATTTTCTTGAAAATGGTTTTTATACAAAAATAGTTGTAATATAAAAATATCAAATATATTTTTAAATGCAAAAAAAAAAAATAGTTTTCTATGAATAAAATTTACCTAAATATTTAGCTAAATATATTGCTAAAAATATATTAAGCATTGTACATTAATAAAAAATCAATAACCTTATATAAATTTTCAGATTATATTTATTTTTGAAATGTTTAAACATCCCTCTCATTTAGTGAGGTTAAGTTAGTAAGTATTCAAATAATTCAAATAATTTTATATTTTGACTAGGGAATTGATTCCATGCACCCACCTTTTTAGCTCTTAAGAAATATGTCTATCAATAATGGAGTATTTGTAACATTTTTTGTCATCAACTAATTTCTTTACTGATATATTTCAATCTCTTTGAAAGTTGAAATTGGAAGTGATAGAATTAGGGAAGAGCGAGGAGAGTTTTTACATTTTAAACACTAATTGGGCTTATTTAACAACTATGCATTTTTTTAAAGTTTTTATCATTTTTTATCAAACTATTAAAGTGCCTCATAATCATTTAAGCTTTCTTTATTTTTCATGGTTTTCAATGTTTAAAAACTATTTTAACAATGCAACTTAAATAACAGGAGTCACTAGATGATTTCAGACATGTATTGTCGAAAAATTACGAACATTAAATAAAAGAATAAGTAACCTCAAAGTCATAATGTTTTTGCAAATTGTTGAAATTTATACTCATCCAAATTGCATCATTCAAACTCATCCAAATTGCAATCAAATCTGAATAATTTACTTGGTGTTAAGAATTTTACATCAAAGAACCAAAAAAAAACAGTTTTTTTCTTTAAAATTTTTTATTTTTTTTTGTGGGAAACTTTTAGTTAACTGTTTTGAAATAAAGGCTTTATGTCTAACAACATATCTACTATAGCATAGTTTTGATCTGAAATTTTAATCGCATCCATCTCTTAGTTTGTTTTTTTTTTTTTTTTTTTTATTATAAAGACAAGTGGCAAAGAGGATTTTTTATTTGGCTAGGGCAGGGGTCAGCAACCTGTTTTAAGTAGAGAGCCATTTTTCCTTAAATAATTTTAAAAAACTTACCAAGAGCCGCAGAGATGCTAGTGTAAAAATTAAAGATCAATAACTTATTATTTATGTTATTCAATGATATTTAAATGTTTTATATACTTGTTTCACAAGGGACTTGGTGATAAGACTGAGTTTGTTTTCTTCTTGCCCCAGCTTTATATTTATATTTTATGATAAATTTTTTTGTAAAATTTTCTATATGGTGAAATACATAATATTTTTACTTATTGTAAAGTAAATAAACAAATAAATAATTAAAGCAAAAAATTTAAATAAAAATAAGTAAACAATGTGAGATTTTTGTGAATTGGTTCACAGATTTGTTTTACATCAGATTTCTAAATGGAAGTTTTTAGTTATGGACATCTTTCAAGACTAATCTGATGTTACTTTTAATGATGTCCATGTTCCTAAATTTCCGCTTACAATAAAATGTTCGAAAACTGTCAAGAGTTCTAATGTCGCCAGTCAGTAGTTTTTTTTTTTAATTTCTTTTCAAGTTTTCTAATTCAGGTTGCGATTTTTTTTTTTGATTTCAAATCTATTAACTAAAGCTCAAATTGAGCATTATTGATCTTTAGAATGATTTAAAATTCATTTTGTTGGTATTTGCAGTTAATGGATGTGTCAAAAATGACAAACAAATTTTACCTTTCTGACCTCTGTAAAATGTATCATAAAAGAAATCTTTATTTTTTTTTTTAATTTGAAAATTTTTAAAAGTTCTTTACCATGATGATCTCTTTAACTAGAGATCATCATGGTATTATCTATCCTTTCCAATATCTTATTGAGATTGTAACCGTAATAATCTTAATCCAAAATAAACTTTTTCGTAACCAATTGTCCAGGCATTTGAAAGCTTTTAATGACTAAAAACATTTTAACATCGATACAGTGACAAAAACATTTAAGAACATCATCTTAGATTACCAATGGGCATTTTTTATAAAACAATGAGTGAGAATATCTTTCATTCATTTCATCAAAAAATAAATGATTTGCGAAGATTTAATGCTTTTAAGTTTTTCATTGACTATTTTTATTTCCAAGTCTTTTACATCTTAAATCTTGAAAAAAAAAAATGTTTGGCCAAAGTACAATGCTGTTTAAAATGGTAGCAATGGCAGAATTTAATGTAGTAAGAATAATTTCTATATCTAATCTAACAGTTTTCACACTTTAATTGTATTATGTTTAAGCATTACATTCAAAAACATTTTTGCAGGAAGATTTTGTTTGTGCACTATTGCAAAGTGTTTTAACAATAATATAATAAATAGTTACATAGTTTATTTTAATATATCTCTATATTAGTTCAATTCATTTTTAATTGCTTTATAAAAAAAAAATTGAAAAAATATAATTTACTATAATAAATTAAATTTCTTATTTTTATTAAATTAAAATGTATATTATAAACTTGGAATCGCTAAAGAGCCACACAATTTGGATAAAAGAGTTGCATGCGACTTGTGAGCTGCAGGTTGCTGACCCCTGGGCTAGTGGAAAGTGGGAGTGTGTGAAAAAATAGGTGCGATATGTGGTTTTTTAAAGTCTTGGTCCTTGTAACAATATATTTATACATAACTATATTATGAAATATATAAATATTTTCCCAATTTTTGAAATATATTTAAAATAAAACTGTTTGAATGAATTTGTAATTATGTAGTGACATATAGAGTTATAAAATGAGTCATAAAAAAAAATCTCCGTAAAAACTGGACATCTGGTAACTCTAGTTATGCTAATAAAAATATTGTTAAATGCTAATAAAAGTATTGTTAAAAGGAGCAAAACTTTTTTTTTGCCTTTTTTTCACCCCCACCCCTCCATCCATCCTAGCCTAAAGAAAATTATCTTTACCACTTGCTTTTATAAGTTTAAAAAATAAGTTTAAGAGGGGGGTGGGGTTAAAAAAATGTCCATAACTTTTTACTACTTAAAATTAAGATATAGGTAATTTTGTTATAAATAAGTTAGCAAAAAATCTTGTGCTGATTCAGAATTTAAGTATGCTTTACATAAAAAGCTGTATTTAGAAAAAACAAAAATTGCAAAATATATTTTGCTTTTAAAGTGATTTTTAGTACGTATATTTCCAGTTGTAAAAGGCCTTGAAAAGTTTGTCTTTTTTTTTTATAGGCTTTTATAAATTTATCAAAGTACCAGAAGGTATATGTCTTTGTTATTTAATTTACACGTAGTTAAGGTGCTTTAAAAAAACTTTTAATATGATACTCAAATTTACCTTGTAAAATGTTATATATGTACCAAATTACTGTTCGATACCTCATTTTGTTCATTAAATATTGCTATCTAATGACAAAAAAGTTTTTTGCAAAAAGATTCATCATAAATGAGAAAATCAAGACTTGAATATATTATTAACTATTTATTAGGAGTTGGATGTTCTAACTTTCAGATTTTCCTGGTTTTTATAAACCCTATAATATATTTAAAATAATTAAATTTAGTTACTCACCGAGTAGAAACTAAAACTTTGATCATGTTGTAAAATTTAAATTAACCATTTTAATAATAAAAGACAGTAATGACAGAGCCATTCATTTTTCAAGAAGATAACAATTCAAAGAATGATCAGTTATTGAATAGAATGGTTTGGCCTCATCAATCACCAGATCTCTCTCCTATTGATCTTTTATGGGATGAATTAAAAAGAAAATGCCTAATGCCTAAAAAAAGCTAAAAAAGCTAATGTCTAAGGTGCAAAGGATATGTAATTAAAACTTAATAGCGAGTGGCATAGAACTGACTTTGACAAATTGGAAAAGTTGTTATAATGCCAAGAATATATTTATGAATGGTAATGTACTTGATGAGTCTCCTACCCTTCATCTTCTAGGATTAACTCTTACTTCTGATCTTTCTTGGAAACCTTATATCAAATCCATTGCAAAATTAGCATCTGCTTCTCAAGTTGCTTCTCTTTATCGAGCTCGTCACTTTCTTACTCTGGATTCTATTCTCTATCTCTATAAATCTCAAATCCGGCCTTGTATGGAATACTGTTGCCATATCTGGGGCAGATCTTCTAATGATGCCCTTTCTCTTTTTGACAAGGTGCAAAAACGCATTGTAAACATAGTTGGACCTGCTCTTGCAGCCAACCTTCAACCTCTGTCACATTGTCGTAATGTTGCTTCTCTTTCTCTTTTCTACAAATACTATAATGGGCACTGCTCGAAGGAGCTAGCGTCTCTTGTGCCATCTACTAAAATTCATTCTCGTGTTACTCGTCATTCAATCAAGTCTCATCCTTTTTCTGTTACTGTTCCTAAGTGTTCCAAAAACTCTTATTTGTCTAGTTTTTTTCCTCGAACATCAGTTCTTTGGAATTCACTTCCTTCATCTTGCTTTCCTGATTCATATAATTTGCAATCTTTTAAGTCGTCTGTCAATCGTTATCTTGCTCTCCAATCTTCATCTTTTCTCTTCCAGTAACTTCCAACACTAATTAGTGGTTGCTTGCAGCCTTGTTGGAAGCGAAGATAATAAAAAAAAAAAAAAGAAAAAAAAAAGAATATAGATATAATATAGATGTAAGTTAATTATAAAGTAATTTAATTTGAGATTTTATTTTTTATTATGTAAACTTAATCAATAAAAAAATTTAGTTGCTAACCAAATAGAAAGTAAAAATTTGATCACTTTGTAAAATTTAAATTAACCATTTTAATAATAAAAGACAGTAGTGTGTATATATATATATATATATATATATATATATATATATATATATATATATATATATATATATATATATATATATATATATATATATATATAGGATCGTAGCAACCAGTGGGTCAGCAGGGGGCATTTACCTCCCCCCAATAATTTTAAAAATAAATAATTTCGAAGTTAGTTTTTAGAAAAAAGCAAACAATTACAAATTAAGATATAAAAGAAAAAAAGGATAGAAAAGACCTAATTTGTTATCCATATTTTTGGCGTAAGTTCCTTTGACAAAAATTTTTAATCTACCACTATTTAGTCTATCCAGTAGTATATGTATATTTATATATATATATATATATATATATATATATATATATATATATATATATATATATATATATATATATATATATATATAAGCCGAATCGTTTTGAGGAGGCAAAGCAGCATGTAACCTGGGACAATTTCAAATAGGGCAGTCTTCTTTTTATTACGTAAAAAAATTTATTTTGGGCAGCCCAGATGAGCTGCAATGCTATTGGCACGATTTAAGACAAGAAAAGCGTTTTTTTTCTAAGCGTCATTTTGGCGATGGATCCATCATGGTTCGAGGTGGTTTTAACGCAGAAGAAAAATCTAAATTAGCCATATTGGAAGGAAATCAAGATTTGGAAAAGTACATTGATTCTCTTTCTGAGTATTTGCTACCCTTTGCTCACTTAAAATAGGGACATCCTTTTTCAGCAGGATAAAGCAAGCATTCATTCCTCATCAGTGGCAAAAGAGTGACTTGAAGAAATTAATATTGAAGTAATTGACTAACCATCCAAACCTCCTGACTTAAATTTCATTTAAAACATTGTTTGAAAGGTTTACACCTCTGGGGAGCAATTTGAATCAAGAAATGAGCTGATTGTTGCAGTTGAAAGAGTATGAAAAAGAAATTGATAACAGTCCACTTCAATGTCTGGTTTTTTCAATGCAACATTGATGAATTATTGTTCTACAATTGGAAGGTGTCAAGACTAAGTATTAGAATATAAATATAATTAGTTTTCAGAAACATAATTCTAATCTTTTAGCATTATTGAAGTACAATTTGAAAGTATTTATTTCAAATAAAACATAGCCCATTAATAGTGTATAAAAATTTAAGCGTCTGTGATTGTCTAAAAACTGCTAAAATTAAAATTTTGTAGGGTAGGCTATAATTATTGTCAGCACAGCACTAATATATATATATATATATATATATATATATATATATATATATATATATATATATATATATATATATATATATATATATATATGTATATATATATATATATATATATGTATATATATATATGTATATATATGTATATATATATATATATATATATATATATATATATATATATATATATATATATATATATATATATATATATATATATATTATATATATATGAACATCAATGAATACGATTTCTCTCAAAAGCGTTTCAGAAATAAAATCACTAATAGAACTGTGTTTATATAAATGTTATTTTTTATGGAATGAAGAAATTCACGAGCTTGTAGATTCAGGTCCAATAGGACTTTCACTCATGGTAATACTTACGAAAGGTTTCTTGCAATTTTTTGAAAATAAAGCAATCGACATTGCTCTTCATTCTAATCCACTGTTAGAAATAAAATTGTTTTTGAGGTATGTAGATGATAGCCGCGCAAGGTTTACAAATAAAGATAATGCCATCCGTTTTCAATAAATATTAAACAGTCAACATCATGCCATCTAATAAACAATTGAATTTTAAGATGAAAACAAAAAATTAAATTTTTTAGACATCCAAATAACCAATAATCGAAAAGGTAATTATGATTTTAACATGCATCAAAAAAAAAGCAATAACAAATATTCAGGTTAAGCCACCATCCAAAAATCTTAGAAGGAAATTGAAGGGATTTATTCATAGAGCTTTATCACTTTGCTCTAAAAAAATTTTAAATAAAGAAATCGATTTCCTAATAAATGTGTTTGCTGAAAATGGATATGAAAAGAAAAATTAAAAAACCTTGCAAATATTGTTATAAAAAAATGACATTCAAATAATGAAATAGACTTATCTAACAATGCCAACTTTATCACTACCATGGATTCCAATATTACCAAAACTTCCGAAAATTTTTAAGAAAGCATGTTACAGGGCAGTCTTTAAATCTAGTACAAATCTTAAACAAAACTATCATCAAACAGCTATCCCGGAGTATACCTAATAGAATGCAAGTGTGAACAAAAATACATTGACGAAACAAAAATGAAAATAGCAACAAAAACAAAACAACACCAAAAAAATGTTTTTGAAGAAAAGTTGGAACCATCTGCAATTAAGCATCATAAAATTAAATGTCCGTATAATAAAAAAAAAAATAATAATAATAATATATATATATAAATATGTATAAATATATAAATATATATATATATATATATATATATATATATATATATATATATATATATATATATATATATATATATATATATATATATATATATATATATATATTAAATGTATTCTACAAAATAGAGTGATTATTGTTCTTAAAAAAACAGGACAATAGTAGATTAGTAGAAAATCACTTATCAAATTTTCTTATTTTACACAATTTTACATCAATATACACTCATCAAAAAAATTGCTGATGAGTCTTTATTAATGAAACACTGTGTAAAAATGTATACTTACATATATATGTAAATGTATACTTACATATATATGTATATATATATATATATATATATATATATATATATATATATATATAATATATATATATATATCTGTACTTATATATATATATATATATATATATATATATATATATATATATATATATATATATATATATATATATATATATATATATATATATATATATATATATGTGTGTGTGTGTGTATATCTGTACTTATATATGTATATGTATATATCTGTACTTATATATATATATATATATATATATATATATATATATATATATATATATATATATATATATATATATATATATATATATATATATATATATATCTGTGTGTATGTGTACTTATATATACACATTTATCTATCTATTCTAGTGTATTTATTATTTAAACTAAATCCTAAATTATTTTTTAGGTTGTTAATGATGAACAAGTTGAAAGCAGAGTCAATTTTATTTGTCGTGTTATTTCAGAGAAAAACTTAAGTATTGATACTTTGGTTAAACTTCTTCCACTTGATGCTTTTAATTCTAAGCAAGTTGTACATAATCCTTTAAAGGTAAGGTCACGCTAAAATTGATCATTTAATTGCTTATGGCAATGTTGTTGTTTAACCCATTTTCGACTGACAGATAATTTAACAACAAGCTCTTAAAAAAAATTTAGCATTTTGTGCATCAAAGTTTTGAATTTAATACTGTTGGTTTAATACCATATTTAATATCATATGCAGTAGTGGTGTAGTGGTAAAACTCGCTTCATAAGCGAGAGGTTTCGAGTTCAATCCCCACCACGTCCCTAGTAGTACCGCGCTCAACTTGTTTCTCCGCGGAGCGGCCTTGTTCGTCAAGGTTTGTGTTTCAGAGCTAAAGAATTAAGAGAGGGTTATAACCACTATTAAGTAGTCTCCTTGTCTGTAGTGGCCTTCTTGGCCTTGAGGAGGTGAATAACAAACAAACAAACAAAAAAATAGCAATTTTTTTTTTTTCTTTTTCCATGATTTCTTTTTGGTAATATATAGTTAAAAAGTCTTTGTAATATCTCATTAAATAAATTATGATAATGATAATTAGTTTATTAAATATAATTGACTATTCTAGCTCCAAGATGTAAATTAAGAAGAAACAAACAACATTTAAATATACCATTAAATGAACAATATTAAAAAGAAAAGATGTAAGGAAATTAAGAAAAATTAATCAATGCTAATTTTGAAGTTACCTGTTAGTATTTTTTTTTTTTTTAATTTAGGCCAGCGATGTTTCTGGAAATGAAAATAAATACAAGCACAAGATTCCTGTTACTCAAGATGTGATTACGTCTACACCTAAAAGAAAGTTTGATCAAAGTGCTACTGCAATAAAAATTTCTAATAGTTTAAATGTATGTTCTAAAGTAGTTTTAAATGTATGTTCAGTTATGTGGAAAAAAAATTTAATTTGTTTAAAGCATTATTTTTTTATATGCTTTTATTTCTTCCATTTCTCTTAGAAAGATTTATAGCAACTATAATTTTCTTTTCAAACAAATGAACTACTGTGTTCTGTTAATTGAAACAACTGAAAGCTGAAATAAAATAAAACAAATAAAGGGCTTTATTTAATTTATTACAAAAATATCATGAAAAAAATGAATCAATGTCACAGGCTTTTGATTAAGATAAAAGAAAAATACTAACAATTTAACTCACTTTTACATTTTTTTTTCTTTTACAATATTTGACTTCTCATTTATCTTTGACATAGTCTGAATAACTGTATTACTTTTTCTTGAGAAACTTTTTGCTTATTGCACAGTCAGAAACATCATAAAATTTTACTCTGTTTTTTTTTACCTATAAAGAAAATCCTAAATTTTACTTAGCACTTTTTACTTTGCATCAACTTTACCTACTGTCTTATTTAACTTATATTTACAAATTATCCTAAAATTTTCTGTAAGCCAAACTTGTGACAATTTGGTTGATTGTAACCTCTAGATTTTTATTAGAATTTTAGCACCATTTTCTAAGTACTGATTTGTAGCTGGTTTAATGAGACTGATTTAGTTCATTAACATGAGATTGTATAAAAGGACAAAATGTTTTTACAACCACTCCTTCCTGTAGAGATAGGTGTTCATCTTCTTTGAAGTTACAAATGGTTTGCATTTTTTGGCATTGATCATACATTTCCTGGCAAACTTTTAATTAAATTAGTCAAATTGAATTAGGCAGCTCTCAAACTTAATCAAAAACAATTTTCTTGCTTGACCTTTTTTTTTCGTGTTTCTGTATGATTTGGATATTTAATTTTTCAATAAGTGAATATCATTAAGTTGATTTTTTGCACAAAATAATAAATGTTTTGTATTTTTTCTCTCATCCCGAAACAAAATAATTTTTTTCAGTTCTATATTATTATTTTTTTGTGTAAAAAATAATGTATAAAATTCTTTTATGGTTATTTTTTTTTTCTTTTTAAACATATTTAGTAATTTAATTCAAATAAATATTTGTTTATATTTTTTTTTTTTTTTGAAATTAAAAAAAAAAATATTGATTTAAAACATTTAAAATTGAGTTTTTTTTGTATCCATATCCGTAAATATAATATACATAAATCAAAATCAGGTTGTACATAAATCAAAAAAATGTGTATAAGTTATATAACTCTCTCTCTCTCATGTGAAACAAAGGTTTGATCATTAAAAATAGATACAAAGTCGACAATTTTTTGCTGACCTCAAATACTTCTAGGTTAGCAGTTAGGTTGGCATTGCTGAATGCCAACCCTAATTCTGAATATATATATATATATATATATATATATATATATATATATATATATATATATATATATATATATATATATATATATATATATATATATATATACATATATATATATATATATATATATATATATATATATATATATAATCATGTATATATTATATGCATTATATAAGTATATATTATTTAAAATGGTTTATTACATTTTCAAATTTTCTTTTAGGCTTCAAGTTCTACAAATTTAGAATCAATTTCTAGTGTACCTCAAACCACACCTTTGCCTACTACTTTAGCTGGGCCATCATGTCAGTGTAACATGATATCAGGTATAAAAGTTTTCAATTTTGTAAAAATTTTCAAATTTTTTTATTTTTTTTCAATTTTATGAAGTTCAAGATGATAAAATTTATGATAAAATGTGCATGTTTGTGATAAAATCGTTTAACCCACAAATTTTGCATTATATAAAAGTATAATAATAATAAGTATTATACAAAAATTAAAATTGTAAAGAATCAACATTTTTTAAAAAGTGCGAAAACTTGCAGAAGTCTAAAAGTCTTGTCATCAAGAACCCAATTTGTTTCTTGCAATATTTTTTTGTATACTTTTTTACAATAACTTTTTTTATTGATAAACAATGCCTTAAGTTTATTCTTAGTTAAGATATTTAAAAAAAAAAAACTAATCCAAGAAAAATTCTAATGTTAAATAAACTAAATAATGTTAAATTGTATTTGGATAAAAAAAAAGAAGCCAAAAACACATACACATATATATTTTAGTCTATGATTTGCTTTCTTAAAAATATATTTTTTGTTTAAAAAAATTTTAAATCTAGTGTTTTTGTATTATATAGAACACATTTAGTTAAGAGTAGGAGACTATTTTTAAAAAAGTTGTTTTTTGCATCACCCTAATGTTGATTGTTAGTATTGTATTTACAATGCTTTCATAACAATGTATTGTTAGACAATCAAATTACCTCTGCTTTCATTGGTAAAGTTTCTGCAAAGGTTATGACATTAATTTTAGGCTTTAGGGAGACTATTAATGTATAATAAAATAAGAGTGGTAGAAAAATAGAATTTTTAGTACCAAAGCATTTTATTTTCAGAAACTTTAAAAATAAATTTTATCAGTTAGGTTTAAAAATATTTTATTTTCAAAGGAATCATTTGTGTTATTTATAAGATCTAAAGTTTTTAAAGCAGAAATCAACCAAACATTAGATCTAAAGATCTAATGTTTGGTTGAATTCTGCTTTTGGAAATCTTTTTTTTTTTTTGTTAAAGATTTTTTAATTTGCTTTACAATTTCCTTTTGAACTACACAATAAAATTAAAAGATGGGTAGATTAGTTCAACTAAAAAGCACAAAATGATAAAAAAAAACAAATATTTTCACAGTAAAGCATATATAAATGACATATCAAAAGAATGCAAAAGTTTGTCACTATTTAGTGGTACCATTTATATAATACCAAAACTGTTACTTTAGCACTAAAATTCATAGTTTTGAAGATCACTTTAAAAACTACAAGTGTGGCTTGTTGCACTCAAAGGGTTAATCAGGGTTCATAGCACTCAAGGAAAACTTAGAAAACTAGTTTTGAAATTTTAGAAAATCAGTGAAAACCTGGATGAGTCAAAAAAAAATTTCTGAAAATTTTTAAAATTAGAGAAAACTCAGATTATTTTCAAAATAACTTCATGCTGAATATTAGTTTTATTTTCAGTTAGAAGTTATTTGCAATACCCAAGTTTTGAATCTTAATTATTATTGGAAATTGACATAATTTGACATTATAAAAAAAAGCTTGTAACTCAACTTTGACTTTGATATAATGACTTGTCACTTAGCTTAAGAATATTGTGTAATCTCAACCTCATATTATGTAACCTCAACCTCATATTCAAGCTCTAAAAAATCAAAAGCTCTAAAAGATGTAAAAGCATTTTTTTTTTATAAAGAAATTCTTTCTTTTAATTGTGCAGCATGGCTTTTTCTTCTTTTATTTTTTAGACATTATACTGTATCCTTAGCAAGCTTCAATATTTGACAGCCTTTTAAAGGGACTACCAAGTCCGGAGACATGTTGTGTTCATATTAAAAAGAACGTTAAAAAAAACGTCTGAGTAATTTTTTTTTATTAAAACTAAAATAATAAATGTATACCAAGAAAAACAAATCTTGTTGTTTTAGTCGAAGCTTGTCTTCTCGGTTTTCTCTGGTATTTTGAGTATGTAAAATAAACACGATTTTCCAGGCGCATTATACAGACTTGATAATTTATTCAAGCACGTTTAATTCATAGGAGTTTTAGAGCATGACGTCATTGGAAACATTCTAGAAATTCTTTAAAAATTTTACTATTAAATTTTACTCAAATAGCTTACTATAGTTACTTATTTTATTAAAAGTTTATTTTATTAAACCAAGCACTAAGAAAAGATATAAAAATTAAGAATATACTAATAAAATATATAATTTGTAATTAACTTTCAAAATTTTGACAATTTGAAAAATATATATTATAAAACATTTATTTTTGTAAGCAAATGATAATAGTTTAAAAGTTTTACGGCTTTACAGATGTGGCTCCAAGAATGAGCCATAAAATTAAAGTAATAGTTCATTCGATAATTTATTCTTAAAAAAATTTATGCTAGATATTTCAAAACGCAACAAATCGTAAATAATACAATTCCTAAAACATTTCAACAGAATACTCTAGAACTTTATTCCGCTTAGTCAGCGTGTTCTTTGAACCAATAGAATTAGTTTGTTCGCAAATTTGGCGGGTTTTTAGTGTTCATGAATATTCTTTTTATTCTTCCGCAAGATGTTTTAAGAACATTCAAGTTAATTATGTTTCCATGTATGTCTGTAAAATAAAAATTATTATATATTAATTTTTTAATTTTTAAACCCCCGCCATAATATATATTGGATGTTATAATAGAAATATAAAAAATGAAATAAGATCACCTCAATACCAAAAAATACATTTTTGAAAATCAGGGAAAAAATGCGTTAATAATTTTTTTTTTAATATTTACAAAGTAAATTAATAAAAGTGCATTATTATTTAGGTTAAAAATTATTTTATCTAATATTTTGAAAGAAAAACTTATAACAAAAGAGATTAAAATACATGTGGTCTAGACGATTTAAAAAAAGTTGCGCAAATAAAATACTACTTTGTTTTTTATTTTATTTTTGTTTTTAATTTTATTTTGTTTTTAATTTTGTTTTACAAACACATTTTAGAACTTTAAAATATAATAAAAATGAATATGATTTGGAAATTGTATGTAAAAAATAACAATCGGTGTTTTAAACAAAAACAAAAAAACTATGACGTCATGCACTAAAACTCCTATAAATTAAACGCGCTTGAATAAATTATCAAGTCTGTATAATGTGCCTGGAAAATCGTGTTTATTTTACATACTCAAAATACCACAGAAAAGGAAGAAGACGAGCTTTGACTAAAACAACAAGATTTGTTTTTCTTGGTATACATTTATTAATTAGTTTTAATCAAAAAAAATTCGCTCAGACGTTTTTTTTTAACATTCTCTTTAATATGAGCACAACATGTCTCAGGACTTGGTAGTCCCTTTAAATTTGGTTTTTTTGCAAATTGATCTTAAAAAACCATGTATTTAGTTTAAATGTAATGTATACCCCATGTATTTAAAAATTAAGTTACATTTTACATATGAAATTTAATTTAGTTGATTATAAATACATTATAAGTTGTTTACTTATTGAATCAGGAGCTCCAGACTTTTTTTTTTAATTCTGATTCACTGCCAACAAAACTGCAAACAACCACTATTAATACCCCGTTCATACTGACAATAAAACACGTTTTATTTTAATGTGCATTCAATTGTTATTATAAAGAAGTGTAAAAAACAACAATAAAACAATACTACGAGGTTGTTTTGTCGATAAAACAATAAAAAAATATAAAAAGCTTGTTTTAATATAAAACAATTTCACCGTGTTGTTTTATTGATATTTTATACAGTTTATAACATTAAAAACATAAAACGCGTTTTAATTATGGTTGCGACTCAAAGAAGCTTTGAGCCGCAACCATAATTGTATTTGTAGAAAAAAGAAAGAGACTCAACCTTACAACAATTCCATACATGTTTTTGTATTACATGTATATGTAAATATTCCATACATGGACGAATAAGAAATTTCTAAAGGTAGAGAATTGAATCAGGAGTTAGAAAATGGCAAGCACAATAAAGAGAAGCAAGCTTAACAGATGCTAACTTATTTTGCGATAGTTGTTTCCAATGACTTGAGACTTGCACAAGTTTTGAAGTGTACTTCCTTTGCTTGAATTAACTTATACTTGGGTGAAAAGATTTGACAGAGACCTGTGACTTTTAAAACAATACTTGGTCATAGCTCTAGTTGCAAAAGTATTATATCCTTCAACATTATCAGAGAAAATCATCTACTTTTCATCACCTAAACTCAGGGAATAAATACTTGAAAACAGGAAAAAATTAGGGAATACTTAGGAAAAGTTGATTTTTAAAATTGTTATGAACTATGGGCAGTTCAATAATCTATGGCAGTTCAATAATCCATGGGCAGTTCAATGATCCACAAGCAGTTCAAGAATTTTTTAGTTTTGATTCTAATTCTTTGATTGCAAAATTTTATTATAATCTTTTAGGAAAATGTTTTTATAATATATTTGTGAATCCAAGGTTGCATTTTTATAAACTTTATATCATTTTACTGTCAATAACAATTTTATCTTGTGGATAGCAGTGTTATCATGTTAATAGTGATATTATGTGGGTAGCAGTGTTATTATGTTATTAGTGATATTATGCAGATAGCAAGTTATTATGTTATTAGTGATATTTTGTGGATAGCAGTGTTATTATGTTAATAGTGATATTTTGTGGATAGCAGTGTTATTATGTTAATAGTGTTATTATATAAATAGCAGTGTTATTATGTTATTAGTGATATTATGTGGATAGCATTGTTATTATGTTTATAGTGATATTATGCTGATAAAGATATTATGATGAATTATAAGTGTCTTGATTATTTGATAGATTTCTTGAGGTTCTTGATTATTTGACAGATTTCTAATATATAAATGTTTTTACATAGTAGATCAGGCTGTTTCAAAAAATGCAAAGTAAAAGCAAATTTTAAAGTAAAAGTATTATTATTTTTTTAATATCTTCCTATGCTGACCTTTTTTTTTTTTGGTAATATTCTTGTTTGATAAAAAAGGCTCTTTGAGGACCTTATCCATTAAATTATTTGTTTTGGCACAATGTTCTTATTTCAACCAATAGAACAACATAAAGCACAATTAGTCAGAAAATATATTATGTGATATTAAAATAGATTTTAGTACACTCTAAGTTGCTAATTTTATTTTTGTTATTTAATTAGACTGGCTTAAAAAAATAAACCACCGTTTGAGTTGTATAGAAGAACAGTTAAACAACGTAAAGCCAAATACTGGCGAAGCCATTACTGATATTCGCTCTCAAGACTGGACTCTTCCATTGCCTGTTGCAACAACAGGAGACTTGGAGACGTTAGAAAAGATTCTTTCTGAAGATAATGCGTGTTACGAATTTATGGTATTATTTTATAATTATTATAAATAATATAACAAATAAATAAAAAATATATATATACATATATATATATATATATATATATATATATATATATATATATATATATATATATATATATATATATATATATATATATATATATATATATATATACACACACACACAAACACACATATACAGTGAGGGTATAACTGCCCCCATAACATTTGGATTAATGTTATATGAAAATAAAAACAAAATGTATTTTTTTAACAGTTTATTTCAATAGCGCATCATTAAGCTTTAAATTGATTCAATTAAGAAAATAATTAAACAGATTTTGAAAATGTTATTACGCAAAAGTTACACTAAGTGAAAAAAAACAGTTTTACCCCCATGGTGAGGCACAACCGCACACTCACAAAAATTGTTAGGATTACACTTTTTTTGGTCATTTTCTTTTCAATTATCACAGTTCAGATTGTTTACTGATTTTGTTGCACGTTTACATACTGTATAGGCATTCTTTGTACTTACAGTTTGAATTTTTTCATTCGATATATTCTTAGCTTTATAATTTATTCAAAAATTCATTTATAAAAATTAAATCAAAAAATACGAAATCTTATTTCCAAAATCTCAAAACAAAACTATTTCTATTTAGGTTTTTACATGAACGCATTCAAGTGTGTTTTTAGAAAGAATACAGTTTCATAGCTTGCTTATTAGAACATGTTGATATCAAAAATGGTTTACATTTGATGAAATAATGCTGATAACACATTTCTATAACACTAAAATCAAATATTGCTTAATCCTCAAAAAAAAGATCTGGAAAAATATGATGTAAATATAATATTTTTATCAAAGTAAACATTATTATGCACAACTTCTCAGAAATGTAACAGGCACTCTTTTTGACATAAGTGAAATGAAGTAAACTGTTTTACTAATGTGTTTTTTGCCATATTAGATAACATTTTTCAATGGGAAATGTTAAAAAATGGTTGTGCCTCCATATGCCCCCACTTCCCCTTTATATATATATATATATATATATATATATATATATATATATATATATATATATATATATATATATATATATATATATATATATATATATATATATATATATATATATATATATATATATATATATATATATATAATGTATATATAAATAACATTTTTTGGTTACCTTAAAACTTTCCAGTTTATTTTTATTTTTTTACTTAATTACAATTGTTTTTTTTAGTTACTTTTATTTTGTTAATTTTGCATTCATCTGTTTTAACAAAGTTTAGTACTAAATTTTATTTTTTCTTGTTTTTATTTATGAATACAA